GAGGCTGCTCTTACCAATGCCAAAACGTGCCAGACCCTAGCGTTGAAGTTCAAACAAAGGTTGTCTTGAAAACAGGCCCAAGATGGCCTGTGCTATAACCCTGGTCTAGTGCCTAAGTTTCAGGGCAGGTCGATCCGATGAGAACGTGAAAATGGCCCTCCGTTGCAGGCTGAAAAGACTCAGGGCCTGGAGGGCCCTTTTTAGGCTGAAACGACACAGGGCCTGGAGGGCCCTTTTTAGGCTGAAATGACACAGGGCCTGTAGGCCCTCATTTTCAGGCTTTCAGGCTGAAACGACACTGGGCCTGTAGGTCCTTGTTTTCAGGCTTCCAGGCTGAAATGACACAGGGCCTGTAGGGCCCTTATTTTCCGTCTGGTCGGGCCGTGCTGGCCCGTGTGGCTGCGCAGTATGCCACACAACTGTTCGCTGCTTGCCATCCAGCATGCATCACCACAGGTGATTTATTTCTATTTTTGATTATTTAGGTGTACGGACTTGGTTGACAATTTCGCCCCGGCGGAAAAAACAGCGAAAGTGGTAAGTTTCCACAATCGGCAAATCTGCAGAATCTGCGACTTCCCAGCCAGTTGTACCTGCTGTAGAACTGTTGGCCTCCTCCTCTTCCTTGCGGCCTCCCTCCGGTCGCGACAACAACGTAAGTCCTCCCCTGAGTGGCGCCATTGTTCTCCTCCTCCTCCAGTCCCCACTCTATCTGATCGTAAGGGACTTGGTCCATACCACCCTCATCTAATGTAAGGATCAGATGATCCTTGGTCTTGACTTGACCTGAGATGGTACGACCTTTCCACTTTTTACCCTTATCCAGGTCCTTGTGCCAGAAAGTGGATACTGACGCGGACCGTGCTTCAAACGCTACCACTTCCCTGCTAAGTGCATCGTAGGTCATGGTAGGTTGCTGGCTCTTTTCAAAGAAATGCCCGCGTAACGGTTCGGGCATAGCGTGGTAAAAGAGGTTGACCAATTGGGTCGCAGTGACCCCATGATCAGGAACGACGACCAATTCGTCCATCACACCTTTGAGTGCCCTGGCACTCCTCCACTGACGGGAATTGATGGTTTGTAGCTTATCTGACGCTTTGACACTACGGGTGACGTCTGCAAACCGTTCTCTCAGCAACTTAAGAAAGTCATTGAGGGGAGTGAACGCGGAATAGGCCACCAAATCATCATTGCAGTTGGCAGCGCGACACAGGGAACGGGCGAAGCTTGCCGATTCCTCCTTAAGGGCGTGAATAGCTATCAGGAAGTGTTCGTCGGGAGCGACGTTCTGCAAGTGCACATACGTTTTAATGTTGGCTTCCCAGTTGTCAAAGTTTTCCTCCCTCTTTCCATTGTAGGAGTCGGGGAACTTGACCTTCACAGGCTCTCTACGGGGACGCGCCGCTTCCTCCTTGGGTGCGGCCAACTTGGCGCCCTCTATGGCGCCTGTGCAATAACGCTTTGTGCTGTCTAGGCGGGCCTTCACCTCGGATCCCACCTGTACCACTAACTCCCTTGCGAACTCCCTGAATCCCAGCCGTATCGAGCGCAAAGCAATGTCCTGACTTCTAATAAATTGGTATTGCTCCTCCTGAGCTGCTGTCGATATTCCTCGCCATGATTTCCATCTTCCCCAGCAAATCAACTTGCGTCGCCATCTGATCCCTCTGTTTCTTCACCTCTTCCAGTTCCTTTGCTGCTCGGGTCACTGCATCTAATCTTGCTTTTCTCTCCCTTGTTAGTCGGAATTTTCACTCCATCCTCTTTTCATCCTCTATGGCCTGACCCGTGAGTGGATCTTCTTCCACCTCCCACTCTTTCAAGGTCGCCTCCTATTCTTCCCTGGGCACATACATCAGTTCCTCTTCCTCTTCTCCCAGGGATAAATTCGCCACTAATCATCTTTGGTCCCACTGGGTTCCCCTATTTGCTCTCTTCTTCTCCTTTCCAGTGGCTCTTCTGTTACCTCCTCCTCCTCTTCTTCCACCGCTTTAAGCTTCTCTTCTTCTTCTTTCTTTAACCTCTCCTTCTCTCTGGCCATCTCCTCCTCGATCTTCTTTAGTTTGGCCGCCTGTTCCTCTAGCAGGGCCTTCTTCTTGGCCTCCTTCTCTCTTCTCTCTTTCAGGATGGCGACGACCTTCGCCTCCTGCTCTGGTGTGTAAGGGGAGGTGCTCGTTCCGCTACGCGTGTCAACCATGGTGATAGACGCACAACCACAGGATGGTTCCACTCCTCACCACTTAGACTCTCCCCCTAACTGACTCAACTTAAGACTGACTCAATCTATGGACCACAGGGTTCGTAGAGAGCCCTGTCAACTATGGTCTCTAGCCTAGACTCTAATACTACAACCATCACTATGGAACTTGTTGCTGACCAGGAGGCATTTAAGGAGATCCCCCGTAACTCCTCGGGAATTCTTTAACGCAGCAGACAGGACGGCCCGTTGTGCAGCCCACACCTCAGATTTCGGGCCTACCGTGCCACACCGAGCAGCCCGTCAGTCAGTACCGATCCTTGGGAGGGTTCGTGTCCTTCAGGACAGTCGAGTCGTCAGACATAGTCTTTAGCCCTACTCAGGCCGACAGGGGTTTGGTCAACGAGGCCCTATCCTTCATACACGGAGTCGTATCACTTGGACAGAAGAGACTCAATGCAGAAAGAAGAGACAGACAGACTCAGACTCAGCAAGTACCATAGGGTGAGTGCACATCCATAGGGCGAGGGGATAGGCTAGGGGCTTGGCGAGATTATACCAATTCCAGCTTGGTCAAAGTCGTGGTCAGCAGCTCAGGTCAACGCCTTGGTCAACGCTCGGTCAACGCTCGGTCAACCCTCTGGTCAACGCCTGGTCAACCCTCTGTCGGCTATCGCTGCCGGCACCTTGTTCCTCGCCGACCTCTACCTTCTTCCTCCTCCTTTCACCCTTCTTCTTCCTCGCCGTATCTCTTTCTTTCTCTTTTTTTTTTTTTTT